CTGATTGTTTTCTCCCATTGCTGGATACCTGATGCTGGGCTTAATGTTTAACTCAGAAAGTGGACCTACTCCAGAAAGGAGGCTCCAAGGCAGGCTCGATCTTCTCTTTACAGCTGTTTCTTAGCTACCTCCTGCCTCATTATGATGTAAAAGATCTTCCTTAAAATTGAAAGTATTTTTATTTTCCCCTCTACATTTTTTAAAGGAGAGGTTTAACTTGGCTCATATCCCCTATATGCTTTTTTATTAGTACATAAAATTATTTATCTATATTTATCTTCAGGATGGCTTGAGAAGAGTGGCCTTATAACTTAGATCATTCATCATTCTACTCCAAAGAGAAGGCAAAGTAATAGTCAAAATAATAGGCATCCCCCTCTACCCTAAAGCTATTTGCATCTCAATCCTCTAAACCGTGGGTTGGGCTTGAATTTTCAATCCTTCTTCCCCCATTCCTCACAAAATGCTGAGATTAGAAACGTGGCAGTTTCAAGCCAGATGAGATAGTTATTTTTCCCTGGGGAAGTCTCCATCTTGTACAAGTCTTTGCTGGAATACAAGGTGACCTTCATTTTAGAGAGCAGACTGGACTTCTGGGCATAGTTGAATCCTTTATTTTGGTGTCTTCAGACTTAAAAGATTATAAATTCAGTATCAACTTTTAGACACTCCTTAACTGATTAATATACCTATATGCAGGGCTGAGGGTGATTTGATCCAAAATTTTATGATTAAAAAACAAAAAAGGATACAAACTAGCTAGACACTGCAGTGCACATGTGTGATCTCAGCACTCAGGACACTGAGACAGGATGATCACTGTGAGATCAAGACAAACCCGAAATACATAGAGAGAGCCTGTCTCAAAAAGAAAAAGAAAAAAATGAAGATCTGCTTTTAGATACTTATTAGGCATCTATAAGTAGAGTTGCCTTTTTTTTTTTTTTTTTTTTTTTAGAAAGAACCATTTTTAAGTCCCTGACTTCCTCAGAAGTAAGCATATACAAATCACAACTTTTAAATGAGTAACAGGCTAAGTGCTCAGGAATGAATTTGTCCTCGGTCCTTTACAATGGTCTCTGTGTCAGTTCTCAGCCTAGGCTTCCCTTGCTAGCTTTAGGCCAATTTGGACTACACAGGGAAATTCTGTTTCCAAAAACAACAAAGTATAACAAGTCCTCAGGTTATTAAAAGGACTGTGCTGGCACCTGTGGGTGTGCCTCCTCGCCCTCAATTATTCAGCCTCCAAGCAATCACTTTCAAAACAAGAAGCTCCCCATCTCTCAGAGATACCTAGTGGACTTCAGCAGTTACATAAGCACAGTCCCCAACCACTTCCTAGGTTTAGTCTAGAAGGACTCCCTGCTGTGTATTCACCCCCCCCCACCACCGCCCCCCAGCCTCTACCCCTCCTCCTGCAGCATTGACAAGTTAAAGCAAAGACTCACTTTGGTGTTACTGTTTTTTTAAAAAACAAAATTCTTTCTTTCAGTGTGTGTGTGTATATGGCGGGAGGGGCTAGGGCCAAGGGAGCACTGAGTTACAGCTATCACCCTAATTTATTGATTTAGAGATAGGGTCTCACTATGTTGTCCAGAATGCCCCAACTCCTCATCCTCCTGCCTCAGCCAGCTGAATGTCTGGGATTTACAAGGTGCCACCATGCTCAGCGGAAGATTCTGTCTTGTCCAGGACAGATCTGAAATAAAACTTTGACCTCACTAATTCTGGGGTCATTCTTCTTTTCATTCTGTTACATTCAGTTTGAATGAGGTCTTCACACAACCAGGTGACAGATAAACAAAAATAATTTCTAAACAAAAACAGGGTCCTGCTACATGTCGCAGATTCTGCAGACATGACAATTTTTAAAAAGCACAGTAAACCCTGGTTTGCCAACATAATTTGCTCTAGAAACATGCTTGTAATCCAAAGCACTTGTACATCAAAACGAATTTCCACACAATAATGGAAACCTACACGATTTGTTCCACCACCCCAAAATAGTCATTCAGAAAGGATTGCAATACCATCATGTAAGAAATAAGGAAAATACAAAATATTTAAAAATAAGTTAACCTACATTTACCTTTGAAAACCTTCGTGGCTGGTGTGAGGGAGAAGAGAGAGGAGGGCTACTGTGCAGGGCGATTTTGGGTTTTTTTTTTGGTCTTTTTGAGACAGGGTCTCACTATGCATGGTGGCTCATGCCTGTAATCCCAGCACTGGGGCAGGAGGATCATTGCGAGTTCAAGACCAGCCTGGGCTACAAAGTGAGCTCAAGGCCAGCCTGAACTGCATAGTGAGACCCTGTCTCAAAAAGACCAAAAAAAAAAAAAAAAAAAAAAACCTGCAGGGCGATTTTGACTACCACTAACGGAACCACTGCTATCTAAAGGCTCCATGCAATCTTTTTCTCGTCACGGAACTTAACAAGGAACCCATTCACTAACACTTGCTTTCGCCTCCTTTTCAGGATTTTGGGGAAATATGACATTGCATTATCATTAAACAGGTTCACCACTGGCGCAGCTCAGGCCTTAGCCTTTCTACACAATTCTGCAGTTTCTCACATTTCACATGTCTCCCTAATCTCATGCGAAGCAAAGCATTTTTCTTCCTTTTTCTCCCCTCCTCTGCTGAAGAGGTCTCCTCCAGAATCTCTAGCTCTTGCTGTTGGGAGACAATCGCCCATAATTCACAGACAGGCGGAAAGAAATAGGGATGGGATTCAATCCCCAGAACAGGAAAAAAGCAAACAGGCACGGTTGCATATGCCTATAGTGACAGTTTCTGGGACGGCTGAATGAAGCGGCACCTTGTAGACCACTCTAAGTGATTTAGCCAGATCCTGTCTCCAAAAATTAAAAGGCCTGATGTCTTGGTTATTTTTCTCTCAATATGAGACAAAATACTTGATGCCTAAAATGAAGGAAGAATTTTTTTTTTAATCTTACGGTTTTGGGGAGGCTCCAAGGCAGGGTGGCATGGCTGCCACAAGAGGCAAGAGTGAAAGGGCGAAAGAGAGAGGGGAAGGGCGCCTCCTTCCGCCCTTCCTTTGTAGGCTGGCTTCATCCGGGCAAGTGCAGCACTCACAGGGCAAATCCCAGCGCGAACCAATCACAAAGGCTACACTCAGCGGCTTCTACGACTGCATGAGGCTTTGCGGGACATATAAACAAACCCCAACACCTAGGTGTGTAGTTCAGTGGCAGAGCCCTTCTGTGTTCAAACCTGACTTCCAGGAAAAAAAAAAAAAAAAAAAAATCTGAGCACACGCCTATAATTCCAGCTGTGCAGAAGGCTGAGGCTGGAGGTTGAGGAACTGGGGGTCAACCTGGGCAACAGAGAACGTGTGTCAGAAAAAAAAAAGAATAAAGAAAGGGAGGTAGAAAGGGAGGGAAGGAAAGAAAAAAAATTGAAGAATGTAAGTAGCTTTTTACAGTTGATTTTGTATTAAGCGTTAGTTTTGTTTAGCACCTTCAACAACTATGCTTAAAAAACTTTTTTTTCTTTTCATTTTCAGGCTTGGAATATATGATTCAGGGGTAGAGCATTTGCTCAGCATGACAAAAAATCCAATCTTATTACAATAAGGTAACTATATACAATATAAACAAGTTGGAACACATTCCGCTAGCTCTTTTTACGCCCCACTTATAAATCCTATTTGAATAGTCAAAGTGGCTATGGGTTCAGATATGTCACAAAATCTAACCCATATTTATAGATTTTTAAATTTTTTGACATATCATTAAACCATGAACCTTAGTGTCTTCAACTGTAAAACGCAGTAACGTTTGTACAGCTGTATGAGGACTGCATCATTATGTGGTAGGTAATACCAAGCTAGGCTCACAACCGGTACATAACTTCCCCTTCTCCATCTGGCACAAAAAAAACTAAAAATGTGTTGTTGAGCATAGGGAACATTTATCTGTTAGATGTGAAAAAAAGAACTACAAAAAGAGAATCTGGCAGCAATGTGAAAACTAATCCAATGCTTACACAATGTAAGGGTATGCCAACTTATACTTAAATATAATTTCCTAATATGTCATCACTTTGAAAACATTTTTTCTCATTTCCAAAGTTTATAAGCACAATCAGTAACCGTCCCCCAAAACCATAACTTACCCTAAACTAAGCATTACACCCAGGAAAACTGCTAAAAAGCAACATTACAACCAGAAAGTTTATTCATTGTCTAAATTGCATGGGTTTAAATATCTCCTAGTCTATTTGATACAGAGTAAACCCCTCCCTCCGCGCACACACACACCCTGCCTTCCCTTTCAAATAAGATGCATAGTGTCTACGAGGAACTCAAGATGTTGGGTAGAAGCTGCCTAGCCTGATGCCACATTCCTGTAATGTCAGCACTCAGAAGGCTGAAGCAGGAGGATCGCCCGAGTTTGGCTATATAGTGGGCTATATAGTGAATTCAAGATCAATTTGTCTCAAACAGAAGGAAAAAAAAATAAATCAGGAAATTCACAACGGGGTAAGATAGAAGCTTAGGGTCTCATCGTGTCAAAGGAAAGCCCCTCCAACTCAAACTCAGCTACTTGTCACAAGGAAATAAAACTGCACATTCTCTGCACTTGGAGCGTCCACCCAGTCCTGGGCAATTACTAGGAATCACGCATTTTCTATCTCTTCACGACCCACAGTTAAAGTTGGAACACACGGCAACTACGGACTCCCACCTACGTGGCCCCCAGCAGGCTGAAATCAGCACAACAGATGTGTTACCCAGTCCACAGAGGAACCCCGGTCAAGCTCCTCCCTTCCCCGCCTCACCCAAAGCTCTGCACATGCGTACACGGAGTCTAGCGCTCTCCCCACCTCCCGGTCCTTACGCCCAGCTGCCACGCAGCTAGTCCGCCTGCCCTTCTTCGGGCGGCTGGCTTCACTTTTCAGTAGTTCGCCTGTGCAGACCGGCACGCCTTTAGCGGGCGGGGTAGGCCGGCGGGCGGGACCAAGACGCCAGCGCACGCTCAGGACATGCGCAGTAGAGGGACTGAAGCGCCCGCTGTCGACTTGGAAGTTCCGGGGAAGGAGCGCATGCGTGAGTGTACGCGTTGCCGGCGAAGAGGGGAGTCTGACGACTCGGAAATTTGAATACCACAGTGGCATGGAGTGTGACCTCATGGAGCCTGACATCTTGGAGTCGTTGGAAGATCTAGGGTAAGACTGCCGAGACACGGGTCTCCCGAGCCCCACACTGTTGGCGCCCCGGGAACTCCTTCTGCGCCTCAGTCCTGAGGCACCTGCCTCTGCACGCCGCGTCCGTGGCTCCTGCTGTCGCCTCCCTTCGGCCCCGGGACCCCCACTGCCACGTCTACTCCCTGCCCTGCCGACTTGGGTCCTCCAACCCCGACGCCCTGCTTCAGTCAGTGCTCCCTATTGCCAAGTTACCCGCCGCGTTAGTCGGTCGTGCGTGTCATTGTCTGGGCTCTGGTTCTCCACCCCCACTCCCGGGCTTCTCTCCTTGCTCCCCTCCTGCTCTACCCCCACTGTAGAGGCTGCAAAGTTGACTCCGTTTCCCTGCTGGTCTCCAAATTTCTTGCCTTGAGCCAGTGCTCCTACCCCACCCACTTCGCTCAGAAAACCTCCTTTGCCCAGTCATCTCTCTCTGCAGCCAGGCTTCCCGAGCCACATGTCTGGGCGCTCCTCCGTGGCTCTAGCCTGCTCAGTTGTGCACGTAACCTTCCGTCACCTGCCTGGGAACCACTAGCAGTTTTTCCCCTGACTCGAACACTGCCTTTTGAGCCTATTAGCCCATGACCTCTTCACCCATTATAAACCTGCATGTTTGGTTTACATTTGTCCTCTCTTCCTGCCATTCAGTCATAATCCATTGGTACCTCACAGCTTGGAAATAGGGCTTATCTCACTCGGTTACCCAGATCAGTGTACTTTATCAACTTGAGAACTTGGAACCTTTTTCCAGAACCGTGGTCCTGGAAACAAATTGTATGGACTCAAGTATTTGTCTACAGGTACTATTTCAAAAGAAAAAAGTCCAAGTTTAGCTACTTGTATTGGGAAGTAACTAGTCCTTTATCAAACTATTCACTTTGGCTTTTTCATGAGAACAGAAACTAAGATAAACCTTTCTTCAAGGACACTTTTGAGGGTTCCTGGAGTTGGCCCATTTAAATAACTTTGTTGATCTAATCAAAATTTTTAAGAAAGGAAGCAGTGGTGCTAATCCTTTTTTAAATGAATTACCAATGTTTTCTTTGAAACTTGCTCAGAATATTCGTGAATATTCCAGATTTTAGGGCGCTTATTTTGTTCATCCGAGATACAATTAACAGTCACATTCTGCAAAATGGTCTTTTTTTTCCCTGACGTCTCACACTGAGCCACTTGCTCACCTGTGAGGTCATTCATTCAGTCAGTAGTGAACATTTTAGAGAAACACTCGTTCTGTGGCCGTGTTGGCTGTTAGGGTGCAAAGCAGAAGAAAGGTTCGCCTGATACTACAAGAGTAGCAAGGCACTGGGGAAGGTCCTTTGCTAGGAAAGGAAATGAAATCCTAGAAGTTTCTTAGAAGTGACAGTTGCAGTTAGTGTTGAATGAATAGAATGAGAAAAGCGTAGGCTTTATTTAAGTATAGTTGTTCCTGATGAATAAAAGTCACTAAACAGTTGGCTGTGGATGCAGTTTCTTCCTATTATTGTTTTAGTTATATTTTTCTTACCTTGGATATAGAAAAGTAATTATTCTTGGGAGGTCGAGGTAGGAGGATCCCTGAAAATTTGAGGCCACATAATGGGCTACATAGTAAGTTCAAGGCGGGTCTGAACTACATACCCTATCTCAAAAAGGCAAAAAATAGTAATTATTATTATTACTGTAGTAATTAGAAAGAAATAATAGAGTTGGGTTGTAATGTAAACCATGGGATTTTCTGAAAACTTTATAAATTTTAACTTAGTTTGGTGACATTCAGATATTAAAATTCAGCTTTAATTGACTGCCATGTATGTTTAAGGATTCACTGGAAAATATATTAGAGTTGAATCTGTCTTTTACCTGTAACCCAGCACGCAGTCGGAATTCAGTATCTACTTGTTGAACAAACCAGTGTAAACGTGAAACACAAAAGAGAAATTTTTAGTCCTAGTTTCTTCTTTCCTGTGCCCAATAAGTGGTTTTTGAATCTAGATGCTAGACCAAGTAACCTCAGCTTTTTCTAAGATTTTACCATTCCTTTTCATATGTAAATATATAATCACATTTTAAAAATTCTCACAATAAGAACTCTTTTCTCCAACATAACCATACTTCTAAACATCACATTTTTAAATGTAGTTCTTGTATCATCTTTAATAAGGTTTTTATCAGTATTTCATTTAACAGAATATAAGGTAATAAGTATGAACAATATATATTTTAGGATTACTTTGAGCAACAAAATCTTGTTTTAGAATGTAGATGATTATAGTTGTTACTATCATGAATGTTTGAATATTTTATAATTACATTGAACTCAAAAAAGATTAGGAATCAGTTGTATTTAGTTCATAAAGTGGCTAACAGTATTTAAGCTAATCTTGACATTTTCCATACTGGGGATCAAACTTGCGACCTCACGCTTGCCAAGCAGGCGCTTATGCCTGCTGAACAAAATCCCTGGCCTTAACCATTTCTATAGTACTAGTATTTCTTAATACTTTTAACTGTTATTAAATATAGAAAAGAGAAATAAGTATAAAAGCTTTTCAAGGAAATCACTAAAAATAACCTGATTGCTGGAAAAAATTTCTAGAAAACATAGCTGTAATAACTATTTCTAAAACAATAAGTATAATTAGCTGTCACTTGCTAATCTGTTTTTACTACTCAGTTCAATTATAAGAAATAAACCTTTGTACAATATGACTTCTAATGAATCTCTGACAGTTGACATAATTTAGTATGTCAGCCCACATATGCTATATATAATTCTGTTAGTCATATATTGCTAAGGGTTAAAATGCAGTTGCCATTTGGCTTATTTTTCTAATGGTTCAATACAATTTTATGTTTTATTTACATTTGCGTTTAGAAATTAGTCATAATTTGTCTTTGTAACATTACTGCTAAATTATATAAATATTATATAGATTAGATTAGTCATCATAATTTGTCTTTATTAAATTATTGCTTAATTACATAAATAATACATAATTTTGCCTGTAATATTTCGGGTGTGACATTCTTCTGAAGTGTAATTTCTTCTTCCCCAGTTACAAGGGCCCCTTGTTGGAGGATGGTGCCCTGTCTCAGGCAGTTGCTGCTGGAGCCAGTTCCCCCGAGTTTACCAAACTCTGTGCTTGGCTGGTATCTGAATTAAGAATGCTCTGTAAACTAGAAGAAAATGTACAAGCAACTAATAGTAAGTAGACTGTCACTTTTCATTGCAAAATATAAAAGTAAAATTATCAGTTGAACTTTATTAGTACTAGATCTAACATTTCAAGTTTTTATAAATTTAAAGAAAAACTTTGTAAAAGAGCCAGGATACTTTTGTTTTTTGAGATGAGGCAATTTAGAAGTTTAAAAATCATAACATAGTTCTGTAACCCTTGTGAAGGCCAAAAAGACCCTATTACTGAAATACAGAAAAATGGAAAGTAAAGAATATATGAGCTTTCTACATGAATTATGAGGTCCTGGATTAGCAGCTACAAATTGGGATGTTTTTCTTTTGAGATTTTGGAAGCACAAATAGCACATAAAACAAATACCTTATACTCGTGCTGTGCTTAAGAAGAAAGAAATTTGTTAAGATGCATTCTTTATCAAGACTATATCATTAAATGCATCTGAGTCAGATCCAGTGCCATCAGATTTGTAAGGCCAAAAGCTGTTTTATATTTGCCAATTTTGTTCCTGCTTTATTACTAGATTATTGACTCTGTAAAAGAGAGTAAACCTTGGAATCCAGTACTCCATCATCTGGCTTCCTTCTGCCATGGGCAAACCTATAATAGACAAAAATGCCCACCTGTTAGCCCACCTTTATGGAGAACCATATACAAAGTGCCCCCTCCACATAATCCCAGTTGGCCGAGTTTACTCTTAGATGTTAGCATATTTAATGGATTCGTGTTAGTTGCATCCGGTTTGAATTTGCCTGTGTGTGTACTAGGGATTGAACTCATGGGTTGGCACCTACTAAGCAGTTCTATCACTGAGCTACATTCCCAGCCCAAGTTTGATCAGTTAAAATTATTAAGGAAGGTAGACATGCATGATGGCCCACTCCTATAATCCCAGCACTTAAGAGGCTGAGGCAGGAGAATCGTTTGCAAGTTCGAGACCAGCCTGGGCTACAAAGTGAGCCCAAGGCCAGCCTGAATTACATGCAAAGACCCTGTCTCAAAAAGACAAAAGACAAACAAACAAAAAAATTACTAAGCAAAGTCTAGTGTAACAATAATAATAGAGCTTAGATTCATTGAGTACTGTGTGTTCAACTCTTTGCATGTGTTCACTGCCTTTCGTCAGCCTCTGGGCAGTTCTGTGAGGCAGGTTTTATTACCTGTACATCAACAAAGAAAGCCCCAAAGAAGTCAGGTGTGTTGCCTCAGATGAAGCCAGAGCTCAACCCAGCAGTCAGGTTCACAGCCAGTGTTCTTAGCCACTGTGCTTCTTGATCTGACCTGACAAGGATTGCAGGAACCTTTGAAAATGCCTATACTAGAGAACTTTTTTGAACTTGCAGGCCCTTTGTTCAAGTGGCACATTATATAGCAACCAACACATAAATAGGTGAGAAAGTGTAGCTCTTCTACTTGAAGTATGAAGAGCATACCTGCAGCACAACTTGGTCCTCTTCCGCCTTAGCTGCCTGTAAAGGTGCTTTGTGGAACCGCAGCTTACACAGAGTACAGTTGACAGGGCACTGATAATGCAGTCTTCCGGTTTTACCCTTCTAGTCTCCCCACCTTCCTCTAAAGGGGCTTTCTGAAACCCTTCAGTTCTCATGTCGCAGTTTGCTGAACAATGGTATATGGTGCTTTTTTTTAAGTTTTTTTTTTTTGTGGGGTGGGTACCAGGGTATGGTGCTTGTTTACAGAGCAGAAAATGGACTTAGGTCAGGTGATTCTCTCAATGTTTATTAATTCTCCCCCTCTGTGGTACTGAATAGAGAACAATCAAAATAGGAAGGAAAGCAGTTTCTCACCCTGCTCATCCAATGAAATGTATGCTCTTTTACATGTTACAGAATGTAGAATTAGAAGTCATGTTTTCTGTCTTCAAATGTAGTGTAAGTGTAACAACACTGTGTCAAAAAATATTAGGTATGAGTAAAATAACTGAGAATGAGTACATTAATTAAATGCTCTCCCTTGTGGCTCATAGGACAAAGTTAGTGACATCAAGACTACTTAGGAAAGGTTTTTTCAAAGAGCAGGACCACTGGGCTTTGATGGAGGTGTGGGATTTACTAGAGTAGAAAATGTCAGTCACAGGCAGTACTTTAAAATTGAAGGCTCAAAGCCAGGTGTGATGATGCACACCTGTAATCCCAGCAGTCTGAGAGGCTGAGACAGGAGCATTGCAAGCTCAAGTCCTGCCCAGGTAACTTAACAACACTGTGTCAAAAAATAAAAAGGGCTAGGAATGTGGACTGAATGCAAAGGCCTTGGGCTCAGCCTGCAGTACCACACATACTCACACACAGAAGAAGGCACAGGCTGTGGGACTGGCCTTTTCCCGGACATCGACACAGACAGACAGGCTGTTTGTAGAGGTAATAAGTAGATGATTAAAACTGCTGGAAAGGGCAGAGGTGAGCGGCTGTGAAGAATTTTCAAAGGCAGACAGAAAAAAATTAGATTAGATGAGGTGTAAATTCTAAGCTATGAAGGATTGTCAAGTCAGGGAGCAGCCTAATGAGCACTCTGTAAGAAAAGTATTTGCAGTGGTGTGGAGGAAAGATGAATTAGAAGGGAAAGGAGCTCAAGTTTGGCAAAGCATATTAAAAATTTTAATTTATATAATAATTGTTATACTAATGGAAAACAACCAGTATCTTTAGATAAAATAATTATAATTCTTCAAAGGTCCAAGTGAAGCTGAAGAATTCCAGCTTGAGGTGAGTGGGCTGCTAGGGGAGATGAACTGTCCGTATGTTTCACTGACATCTGGGGATGTGACCAAGCGCCTGCTCGTGCAGAAGAACTGCCTCCTTTTGCTCAGTAAGTTCGTAGCTACTAGAATGTCGTTGTTAGTTTCTATTTATGTTTTCTGACTGATAAACTAGTTGTTGTTCTTGTTTTATTTCATTGCACATTTAATGCAGTACTATTTGTTGTTAAGAAATATTTAAGAAGGTTCAACAAGCTTTTAAGAAATTTCCAGTTTAGGAGCCAATGATAGCTTTGTGTGTGCTGGCAGCATTTTTCCTATAATTGATGCCCTCCTATCATCTCAGCTTTGGTGGCCCTCAAGCTGTTATGCCTCACCTGGTATGACCCATGTGGTGCTGGATTGTTGGTCAAGTGTGTGATCATTAAACTTTTGCATTCTAGATGAGAAATGGGCCTGGGGATTTAGCTCAGCAGCATAAGCGCCTGCCTTGCAAGCAGGCAGTCGTGAGTTCGATCCCTGGTACCGATAAAAACGAAAAAGACCAAAAAAGAAAACAGATGAGAAACATTTTTAAATAAATGGAGAAGATAGTGTGAAAGAATGAAGGTTTTTAAAAAATAAATTCTTTGAAGAGAGTAAGCATTTATTACATACAATCAATGCTATTATAAACCTTTGTTTTATTGCTGTTTCTTTGGGATTTGGTTGTTGATTTGGGAATAGGACTTGGATGGTTCCTGTATAGAATTTACTGACTATTCTGGTAAATAAAATTTTATGCAGAATTCTTACCGTGTTTTTATCTCCTCACCTTGAAAACATTAAGTAGACTCACTAATTTTATTCCCTTACATAAGTAAATATATTCAATAGTCAACTCAGCATTTTTATAAGCATTCTGAAACACTCATATTAGGCTTTGGTTAACTCAACTGCTAACTTCTTATTATTGCAAACACAGTTCGGAGAACGTTTTTTTAAATGTGTGCCTTTGAGAACTCAGCCAGGCATGGCAGTGCACATCTGTGTTCCCAGCACTCAGTAGGCAGAGGCAAGAGGTTTGCCATGAGTTTGAGGTCAGTCTGGGCTATGTATTGAGTTCAAGGCCAACCTGAGCACCTTTGCAAGACCTTGCTTCAAAAACAGTCAATCAATAAATAAGTAGTTTTGAAGGTTAAGTTAAAAAGTGTTTGTGTGTCAGGCATGGTGGTGCCTGCCTGTAAACCCAGCACTTGGGAAACTGGAGCACAAAGATTGTCATGAGTTCAAGGTCAGCCTGTACTACAAAACAAAAAGTGTTTGTAGCCATTATACTTAGGCACTAAGCTACTCCAGAATCACTTTCGTAACTTCTTTGTCAGATGATTGGGATAACTGGCTCAACAACGGTGTTTTCAACCGATTCTCCCTCCATAGCATTTCTTCTACAAATAATATTTGGTATGTAGACTGTTATCTACAAAGGAAGATAAGAGCTGTGTGGAATGAAATCTTAGTAATGACCCTGAATTACTAATTTATCCAAAGAACTCAGAGTTGAGCTTTTGTATGACTGATGTTTAAGAGGGGAGAGGGGAAAAAAGAAAAAAAAAAAAACCCACTTTGAATGTGAGTTTTTTAAAAGTGCTTTTAACTCTTGCCTGTCTTTTAAGCAGACTGCACCAAAACTAGCTTGGACTTGAGGTCGTAATTAATGGACTTTGGTTTTTGAATGTGCTATCATCTCAAAAGGTTTTCAGTAGTATGTCACTGTTCATTCCTCAGCTAAATGACAAAATCAGCCAAAGGTTATTTGTTTTTAAGTCCTTCGTATGTGCCCATCTTTACTTTGCCTCTGCTGTTTTCCCCTTTTTAAAGATGTTCTCTGCGGTTGGTAATCTCTTTCATTCTAGTATTTCACACACTTATTCATTGCTCCTTTGTGTAACTAATTCTCATCTTTCCAGGTAATAATTGTCACATCTTGCTGTTACAGTTTTACTTCTAGCACCTTTGCCTCATGAATTTGAATCTTTTAGTACTGTGTGAGGAAGGGGAGGTAAATGAACCTTACTAGAACTGTTAGTAAAGTAGAATAGTATTTGAGTATTTGAGTGTGTGGTTTAAAGACTTGCATATCAGGTTAAGGGCTGTTCTTTGGTCTTTTATAGTTCTCAGGTTATTTCCCATGGATAAAATAAGACAGACCAGAGATTGGATTTTTTCTTCTGTTGTTGTTTAGTGCCATCCCAGGGCTTGAACCCAGGGCCTTTGTACTGAGTTATATCCCTAAGCTTTATTTTTTATTTTGAAACAGAGTCTTGCTAAGTTGTCCAGGCTATAGGACCTGAACTTGTGATCTCCTGCCCCAGATTTTGAGAGTATGGGTGTTACAGGTGTATACCACCGTGTCCTGAAAACCAGTATTGCTTTTGTTTTTGTTTTGTTGACCTTTACACTGAGCTACATCCCCCCCTCCCCCTTTTTTTTCTTTTGTCTTTTTCCTTTTTATCGGTAGCAGGGATCGAACTCACGACTGCCTGCTTGCAAGGCCGGCGCTTATGCCGCTGAGCTAAATCCTCAGACCCCAGCCCTTTATTTTAAGACAAGGTATTACTAAGTCACTGAATTGCCCAGGCTTGCCTCAAACTTGTGATCCTCCTGCCTTAACCTTCCATAGTGCTAGAATTACAGGGTTATACCACCATACCTGGCCAGTTAAGAATTCTAGATGAAGAGCTAGTTATTTCAAATAGAGCATCAGTAGAGATAGTCTAGTTTAAAAATAATGTCTCTAATACATTCCTAGTGCTTTGAACACATCATTTGCAGTTCGAGTTTTCTTAATGCTAATTAGATTGTTGAATAAATTTTGTAAATGCTTGAGCTATGTTGTCCCAAATTTAGGAACCAGTTTCTTAAACACACAGTGTATGTATGATTTTCTAGAACAAGGGTTAACAAACTTTTCCTTTAAGGGGCAGATAATAAATATTTCTGGCTATACAGGCCATGAGATCTCTGTGACAGTTACCCAACTCTGCCATTATAGCAGGAGAACAGTCACAGATTGTGTGTAAGGGGACGAGTGTGGCAGTGTGGTACTAGTAAAACCTACTTATAACAACAGTGGTTATTTTCATAACTCTGGGGTTTTACCACTTTATGTTTTAATGCATAAGTATATGGAATGTATTAAGACTTTATCAGGCCTATTTAGAATGACCTTTGCAGAAACAGAGCTATTTTATTGTTTTAGAACAGGAGTTGGCAGCTTTTCAGAAATGATTTGTGAAAATTGTGGCCCCCTTGCTATCCTAGCTTTACACTTGGAGGATAGTAAATGAGATATTTAAGCTGATCACTCTTTTACACTTTAAGGAGCTAGAAAATGTCTTTTTCCAATCCTATGTTCTGACATTGTCAGAAGGATCTCATTTTGCACATAAGATTCAAGGGATTATTAAATCTTTTTTTTATAAAAAGTATCTTTGAAAAAGTTAAAGGAATGGAATTAGATATTTAGGCCTTGAACTAAGTTACCTAAAACAGATTGCGGTCCTCCTTATTCCTAGCTGAAACCATCTTGTAAAGGGATGATACTGCCAAGACATGGTTCAAAAATTTTAGTATTATTAATGAGGGGAAATACATTGAGAAAAGCAGGGGAAAGGGATGTCCTCCCAACACAGATGGAACAGGCTTTTTTGGACCGCCAGAGGGCAACATAAGACTACTGGAGATTTGGGAAAGAACACTTTAGGAATTTAGTGCCTTTCCACTTATGTAACTCAACCTGGGTGCTTAGCAATGTTTCACACTAGTTCTAGACCACTTGCCTACTTACTGAGAGGCAAGAGCGCAAGGTAGTTGTATCACTGGTGCCTTTAAGTGGTGGGAATATATGTGTACGTGTGTATGTATATATGTATTTTTTTTATTGTCACTAAAAATCAGCCATTACCTTTTGCAAATTTTTTAACAGATGCCAACCCCTGTTCTGGAGGTTCCTTAATAATAGGATATAAAAAATCCAAAACTTGAGGCGTGATCTACCTTGAACCTCTCATATCAAAGAAGAAATGCTTAATTTTAAATTTAACTTTATCAACTATGTTGGTTAAATACCTGAATTACATAACCAGTTTATATGTTTTATCATTTGCAGGTAAAAATGGTTTTCCTTTCTTGTTTTATCCATTCTTGCAGCTTTAAAAGTTACATATGATTGATTAGGTCTATAGAGTTGTGACTCCAGACTTATGACTATTAACTATAGCTGTATCTCATTTTGAAATCTTATTTTGTTTACTTCAGCATACCTCATCTCAGAACTAGAAGCTGCCAGAATGCTCTGTGTGAATGCTCCTCCAAAAAAAGCTCAAGAAGGAGGCGGTAGTGAGGTCTTTCAAGAGTTGAAAGGCATATGTATTGCTCTAGGAATGTCCAAACCTCCAGCCAATATAACTATGTTCCAATTCTTCAGCGGGATTGAAAAAAAAGTAAGACCTTTAGTACCAGATTGTAGTGTATTAAAGGCATAGTCCTACATTTGTTTGATATGAAACATTAAGTTTATTTCTCTTAATGGGAACCTAATGTGCATATTAAGTAATTGTTACTACATAAGTTTTGAATTTTAAGTCCTGGATGACTTAATGAGAAATTAGTATTTTTAAAAAGCATTAGCATGTCTCTTTTTCAAAAAGGAAACTTTACAGTTTGCTTTAAAAGCTGAGGTAAACTAGCTGTAATGTAAAAAGAATTAACAATTAAGTCCTTTGGAAAATTATCATTTTATGCAATTTTTATGGTGTTTATCATTAAGCATTACCACCCTCTTCCCCATTGACTGGATAAAAAAGAATGTTTTCTGGTTTTTAATTTAATAACTTTGGGTCTTTATATGTTCCAACTGGCAAATAAGATTTGTTGGCTGCTCACATTTACTATGTGAAAATGAATTAGAATTGTTTTTGAACCACACATTATGAAGGGTTAAGATATTTTTATATACTTGATTAGGAACACGCACTTTTACCAAAATGAATGAGTAAGACAGAATGGTATTTGTTGTAGTACAGTTATTCCCAATATGCATATCTGCTGGACTCCTAAGACTTGTTTCGTGCATTCGCATACCAGGGTAGGTCAGCACCAGGATGCACAGATCTGGCTGATGCTACGGGGTGCAGCAGTGTATTTGTAGTCATTATTTTTCTGTGTGTTCATTCATTCATTCATTCATTCAGCAAATGCTCATTGAGTGCCCTTTGTGGTCAGGCACTGTTCTAGGTGCTTTGAAGGATTCATGCTTCTGTAGGCACGAGAGGAGTGGGACAAGTGAGTGTCTTTATCTTGTGGGTCTTGACATTTATGTTTCAAAACATCCTCCACCTTTGCCTCTGTCAGGAGTCTTCTTTTGATGGCAAGATATGATGGGAATTGGGAAGATAAGGAAGATATATTTTACTTTTACACTTTTTATTCATTTATGTTTTTGTGTCAGTTAAAGGAAACGTTAGCAAAAGTTCCACCCAATCATGTGGGAAAGCCTTTATTGAAGAAGCCAATGGGACCGGCCCACTGGGTGAGTAGTACTCCTCTTGAGTAAACTTAGTAAAGGACCCCATATTTTCATGTTTTTTTATGTCAGCACTTTTATTTTTATAGTTTTTAAATTGTGTTTCCTGTTACATTATTTCCTAAGTGGGTATCCTTGAAATCATTTTTATGAATCTCAGTGTTAATGTGAAATAATTTTGTTTACAATTATACATACTAGCTGGGCGTGGTGGCTCACGCCTGTAATCCCAACACTTGGGAGGCTGAGGTGGGAGGATCGTTGTGAGCTCTAGCCCAGCCTGGGCTACAAAGTGAGCTCAAGGCCAGCCTGAACTGCGTAGCGAGACCCCTCGTCTCAAAAAAAAAAAAAAAAACCAATTATACATTCTTCTTTCCTTTTTTTTTGTGGTACTGAGTGATTGAACCCGGGGGCCTTCTTGAGCTACATCCACAGCCCTTTTTTTTATTTTGAGACAGGGTTTTGATCGTTTGCCCAGGCTGGGCTTGAACTTGCAATCCTCCTGCCTTAGCCTCCCAGAGCGTTGGGATTACAACATGCCCCACCAGCGCCCGGCTGTAATTTGTAAATATTTCATGGACTGGTTAAAATAAATTGTCTCAGTATGATGCATGTTTCTAATTGCCAAATGGATTCAAGCCAAACATTTCATGTGGATGAACTTCGTACAGTGAATTATGGGAAAACTAAATAAGAATTTTGTAGTTTATGCACTCTTTATTATAATACTTAGTGGGACTGGGGGCTGGGGACTTAGCTCAGTGGCATAAGCACCTGCCTTGCAAGCAGGCAGTTGTGAGTTCAATCCCCAGTACCGTTAAAAAAAAAAAAGACTTAGTGGGGTTGTTCTGTTTTGTTTTGTTTTGTTGTTTTTTGTCCATCATTTCACATTAACTGTTAATATCTTACCAAGAGAAAGGACTACCTTGGTTAAGACTAGGGATTTCATTATGAAGAAACAGTTTCTGCCCTTTAGGATTATGGTATGTGACAGAATTAAATTCTAACTCGTCTTTTTCATTTTGCTTCAGGAAAAGATAGAAGCAATTAACCAAGCCATAGCCAATGAATATGAAGTCCGGAGAAAGCTGCTAATAAAACGTTTGGATGTCACTGTGCAGTCGTTTGGCTGGTCTGACAGAGCTAAGGTACACATTAAATAATTTAAAAGAGCAAATATTCACAGGGAGGACCCCTGAACATCTGAGGGAGATGTTAAGACCTCCCTGCTCCACCTTCATTCCTTCAAGTCTGGCAGCTGTACTTGCAGAAGATAGTTTTTGACTAGGTAGAAATAGTGGTGAGTGTGTAACTTTTCTTCCTACCTGGAACTAGTAAACACCGATATCAGATCTTTAACTTATTTAATATGAGTATTTTTTAAGTCACTTTTGAAAATTAATCTTTGTCTTTAAACACTTGTCTTTCAACAGAGTCAAACAGAAAAATTAGCCAAGGTCTACCAGCCAAAGCGCTCAGTCTTATCTCCTAAAAGTACTATTTCTGTTGCCCATCTTTTGGCTGCAAGACAAGACTTATCAAAGATTTTGAGGACAAGCAGTGGGTCTATAAGAGAAAAGACAGCCTGTGCTATTAATAAGGTAATTAGAATACCTTTAGTTTTCTTTTTGATACCCTTGTCTCTGTTTATGAAATGAAATAATTTAAATACCTTTCTTCCATAGGTGTTGATGGGCAGGGTGCCTGACAGAGGTGGTAGACCCAATGAAATTGAGCCTCCACCTCCTGAGATGCCACCGTGGCAGAAAAGGCAAGATGGGCCCCAGCAGCAAGCAGGAGGCCGAGGAGGAGGGAGAGGTGGTTACGAACATTCCTCATATGGAGGACGAGGAGGAGGAGGAGGTCATGAACAAGGAGGAGGGAGAGGTGGACGTGGTGGCTATGACCATGGTGGCCGAGGGGGAGGAAGAGGAAATAAGCATCAAGGAGGCTGGACAGATGGAGGGAGTGGAGGGGGAGGCAGCTACCAAGATGGTGGTTATCGAGATTCGGGTTTCCAGCCAGGTGGCTATCATGGTGGCCACAGTGGTGGCTACCAAGGCAGTGGTTATGGCGGCTTCCAGACATCTTCATATACAGGAAGTGGATACCAGGGTGGTGGATACCAGCAGGACAATAGATACCAAGATGGTGGGCATCATGGTGATCGAGGTGGTGATCGAGGTGGTAGTCGTGGTGGGAGAGGTGGTCGCGGAGGCCGGGGTGGTCGTGGAGGCCAGGGAGGAGGGTGGAGCGGAAGGGGAGGACAGACTTACCACCAGGGGGGTCAGTTTGAACAACATTTCCAGCACGGTGGCTATCAGTATAATCATTCTGGATTTGGACAGGGGAGACATTATACTAGTTGAGGCTACAGAACCTTACATTTTGCAGGAGCTCAAGTAATAGAAACTTAGTTTCGTATGACCACAGGTGGCAGGCAGACTCCTGCTTGGCATAAGCATTTGCAGGTCTTCCATCAGTTTTTTTTTTTTTCAAATGGGAGTTACAGGATGCGGTTTATTTGAAAAATACATACAGCATCTCTACTTTCTATGAAAAAAACAAGTAATTAAAGTTGCTTTTAATTGACCAGTAGACTAATTCCACAGTCAGAACATGCATATTTTTTGAACAATTTACTTGAATAAAGTAGTTTGAAAATGAGGATTCACCTAGGCTTTTTTAGATTTATTACTGGGGAATATTCCTCATATTAACAGCCCATTTATATATATTTTACATAAAGAACTCTAATGCCGGTCTTCTGAGAACAGTTCTGCCCTGATTGGCATTTTATTCAGAGTCAGAGTCTGTGCCACCTTTGCTTTATGATAGATTGGTTAGGTCAGTTCCTATTAAATGAGCTCTTTTGCAGATAGCACATTCAGTAGCCTTATTCTGTTGATGGAATACTGTACCATATGCTCAACTCTGAAAACCTTGAACACAGCCAAAATAAAGACTATAAAAGCAAACTAAGTTGCGAAATTATAGTACACATAGACATTTAGTTAAGTATAGCAACTCAAACTGACCTGCATCCATCCAAAACAAGTTCTTCCTTCAACCTTATTTTTACTTGAAATCTGCTAGAAGAAATAGCAAACCGAAATTTGTTTTATGCACGAGTTAATACCACTGGCTCAGCAAATACAAGTTAGTTTGCTTTCGGCAGGAGACAATTTTGTAATGGAAGAATGCACTACAGAGTAAGCTAGGTTTTTGCTTAGTGCGGAGGGAGGCCCTTTATTATTGCTGCAGAAAACAAAAGCCTGACTGAGCGGATGTTTCACATTCTCCTTTACTGAAACCTACGTGACATGATGCTTCTTGCTGGGTTTTTGTATACATAAACATTGTCAAGCTGTGAAAGAAACTGGCTGGAGGTGTGCTTTGTGTGAAAGGTGAGCAATAAAGTATCTGTACGTTCTCGCTTTGGTTTGAGTTTTATTTTGGCTACTTCTTAGAACTGCATTATTCTAGCTACTGCATCAAACTTTGTAGCTATAGGTTTTCTTAGAACCTCATTTAAAGTAAAAGGTAACTCTTACCCTAAAACCTAAAATTCAGTGAAAAACAGTCATTTCCAAATTCACCTTTTATAATAATACAGCTGAAAAACCTTCATTGTTCCACTCTGACCACTGGGGGTAGCTGTTGCCGCACATATTAGGCAAAGATAAGTCAGTGGCCCTCGTCTTCAGGTTTGGTTTTTATTTTGCTGCTTTGTTCTTAAAAATGGGGGAACTCTTTCTTAAAAGGAAGTGAATTGAAATTGTAAATCTGTATTAAATGAAAAATTGACCTTCCTACTAAATGGAGCTTTAAAAAATCCTGTCTTGCTATGTAAAATACTGTACTGAAGATACTACTCAGCAGTAGTGTTCACCTGCAATTGTCAGTCCCAGAGTTCAATCCTCTGTACCAAAACAACAAAAATCATATTATTGACATAAGAACATTACAATAACTGAGCAATCTTTGAAAAATGACCTTGATCCTTTTGTTAATTTTACTTGTTTTGCAGCTAACATTTGCTCAAATGTAAATATTCAAAATGTTTCATTAAAATGTTGCTGTTCGCATGGACAAGATGGCACAGACCTGAAATCCCAGCACTAAGGAGGCTGAGGCAGGAGTACTGTGTGTTCAAGGCCAACCTGGCTACATACTGAGTTCAAGACTAACCCGAATTACATAGTGAGACTTTGTCTCAGCCTCTCCACTGCAGATGTTCAGTTCTGTCTCAGACATCTAAGAGTTAATCTACATATGATGTACAGGAAGTGCGTACAGAAATTTCCTGTTAGAAATAAAATTGCTTTGATTTCGTATCTTCAAATGATACCTTAGAATTCGGTTTACATTTAGTTTAGCATTTGCTTTAATTAGTTTTATAGCCTATAATTTCACGGTATCTGTTGAACTCATTCATCTGATAAATATAATTTGGATATAATTTTGTAATTACTAGCTTTCTTTTTCAAATACAAGTGTATATGAAAGCAAATAATAGATTTCCCCTATTATGGCACTAGGAGTTAAATCCTCATTTTCTGCTCCAAATTAGATCTGCTGTGTTACAAAGTCACAAAAGGATTAAATTTCTCCTCTCCAACATAAATTTAGAAATAGGATACTTTAAGTCACCAGTTAGTCTGATTAAAAGTTTTTAGAAATTGTATAGTTATCTTTTATTTTGTATTCTTAAACTCATAATGTAGGCCATAGGAGAATTTCTTGGAAAAAGGAGAAAAATTTTAGGAAGGAATTTTTTTCATGGATTTGTAAATATTATCTCATACAAATAAGACAGATAGTACTTTTTTTTAATGCTTTGTTTCCTTCTACAAGAAGCTTGAAGGAAATGTCAATATTTTCTGTAAGAATTGCTCTGAATCCAAATTAACACCCAACCATGTCATAGAATTAAATTCCTGCTAGGGGAAGAATAGGAAATCATTTCCATATATTTAATTAGTTTTCCAGTGCTCAAATCACCTACATTCTTGTACTTAATTTTTTTTTAGGTTTTGCCTATTGTACCTTTCTGAATACTTTGTCCACTTACATTCTTTTTAAAATAGATTTTCAGTGTTCATATATTAATCATGGCCCCTTACATAATATGGGTACTATCTGTCTTTTTTTTTTAATTCTAAGAGCCATTCAGTTTACCCTAAAGAGAACAATGCATCCATCACTGAGTAGCCAGCATTATTTTTTTGTTCAGAGATACATTTCCACACTTTTATACATTAATGTATTGCTACAGTTAATGTAATATATAAAATGAACACATTAATGTATTCCTACAGTTAAAATTACTAATTCTTTTGAAGCAGGTATGTATGTCAGGGCTTGAATTTGCTTTTCACTTTGCATACTTTAATTTACCTGCAAATTTGTTCTCAACAACTTGCATTAAGCACACTGATGTGAGACTTCCACAGTAAGTTGTACACTGCCCATCAAATGTAAATGAAAAGCACTTCATTTGGAAATTAAGAAAAACAATTTTTTTAAATATGTTCCCTAAGAATTTGGGGGGAGGGGGAATCTCTAAATCATCAGTATTTTTAAAGTCATAATTTCTTCCAGAAGAAAAAAGGAACCTAAAATGATAATTGCTGAATTGAGTTTGAAATTCTTGAAGAAGAAAAAAATCTTTAGCTTAGTAAAAGCTGGCCTCGGGATGTGGCTCAGTAGTAAAATACTCATGCATGAGGCCCTGGGTTCCATTCTCAGGACTGCCAAAAACGAAGGAAAAAAACGTTTGTTCTTGGGAGTACACCACATTAGGCTGAAGTACAGAGGTAGGTTAGAAAGTCCCCATCTTGGGAAATGTCCAGTGAGAGAGCCAGAAGCACAACTAGCATCAAGAACAGTGAAAGTGATGCCCGGGTGCTGGGTACCAGTTTCTTTGCGTTGCTCATTTGGGGTAGAAATTGGAAAGCTTATAGCAGTCAGGTAGTAGAGGGCTCTGTGCCATCTGAAATAAGTCAAACCATTTGTGTACAGCAGCATATATCAATAAAAAGGAATGTGGCATGTTCAGACTTGGACCCCGGTAAATTTGGAGCCTGCATAAGTTATGGGCTGGAGTAGAGAATAGATTGGATTAGAGTGGGGGAAATTGGGAAAAAAACTGTAGAGCTTAAACTAATACAGTAGAGTAAGGGGAAAAGGTAAAATTTACAGTTCACAGAAGACAAATTTAATGTGATGCCTGATTTCTTGGTTTTGTAATGGAGCAATACCATTAATTGTAGTCAAAATTGTAGGAAGGAGTGCACGGAGGTAGGTTGTGGTGGTTTCTGCCTGAAAACTCAAAAACTGCCTGATGATAGAAGTTTGGATGTAAACTTCAAGGATTCTGCGTTAGAACATTAAACTGATGTGAACTGTGGTTTCTCATTAAATCACCCACGAGGGAAAAAGAGCCCTGGATGAAGATACGGTCTGGAGGGGCAGTCACTGAAGAGGTGGCAGGAGGAGTCAGGAGGAGGAAGCGGAGAGAATGGAGGCCTGAAGTCCGTTTAGCAGGAAGAGTAGTTATTAGTTTATTGAGAGCAGGTTTCCCCTAAGTCTGTCTGTGCTTAGGTGATAAAGTTTGACCCAAAGCACCTCCCTGCGTGTGGAGCATAGCTTACTGTAGGAACAAATGGTAGCCTAATTTAGGAGTATTCCCTTCTGTACATGCAACTCAGTGTCAGCCAGACGCAGGTTACCTGCTGATCAGACCATGCCCATGGAAGAAGGTGTCCTGCACCACTCACCACATCCCCAGTCCCACAGTGTTCAATTTCTTACGAATTTGTAGCTCTTTAAAGTACTTTGAGTTGATAGGATTTTCAAATATTCTGAAAGATTTGTCTGCCTTTGCAATGGGTAAGATAAGCCACTCAGATTTTATCTATTTTTACAGCTGATTTTGTGTGTATGTGTGGTACTGGGACTAAATCCTGAACATTCACACTGTGCTACATCCCCAGCCCTCTTTCATTTTGAGACAGGGTCTTGTTAAGTTGCTAAACTGCTAGGTTACTCCATTGCCTCAAATCCCCTAGTGAACAGTACTTTTTTTCCAAAACAATAAGTCATTTCTACTTTATCATATTTAGTTACCATATTCTATTTATGGGCGCACTATTTATGAATGTGTTTGTAATACACTTTTCTGTCAGTTGAGGCTTTATGTTTCATAGCTGACAAGGATAATTAGTACTCAGTACTCTTCAGGTATTTCCCAGCTGTTCATGTTTGTGTTTTCCCTCATGAAATGTAAAATATTTGCTAATATAAAAAGAAAAATCCTCATAGTGTTATGGGGGAATACAGTGTCAAAACTGAAGGTTAATGAACTAAAATCTGCACAAGGCTTTGGGGGGACATCTAGACACAAGCCATAACACATAGTAATAATTTTTCACCTTTTAAAATTCATATCTCCATTTTCTTTTTTATTTGTGTAACCCAATACTTCAAAGGCAACATTCAATAAAATAGTCATGACATACCTTCTGAGACAAGTCTTTAGAATAAAATATTTGTATTATTTACTTTTTTAAAAACTCATGCTGTGTTGGTCTGCTGGCATACACCTATAATCCCAGCACCTGGGTGGCTGAGACAGGAGGATTGCTGGGAGTTCAAGGACAGCCTGGACTCCCTATCAGAACCTTATCTCAAAAAAAGAAGTCATGCTGGTATAGAGGTTAAACATTTTAGTCATTTCTAGAAATTTTCACCTATTTTGAATTTTAAAAATATTTAAAATGTATGTTAAATTGTGTCATTTTTATTTAGCATTTGTTAAGATGTTCATATAATTCTGTTCTTTGTATATTAGCATAATTATATTCATGAATGTTAATACTGATATATTCTTGAACTCCTGAACTTTCATATTTTATTATATTTATAATATTTCAGGGTTGCATTGATATTCATAAGTGAGGGGGCTGGGGATTTAGCTCAGCAGCATAAGTGCCTGCCTTGCAAGCAGGCGGTCATGAGTTGGATCCCCGGTACCGATAAAAAGAAAAAATTAAAAAAAAAAAAAAAAGAAGAAGATATTCATAAGTGAAATTATTCCAGTTCTCTTATTTTAGAAAATTCTTAATAGGTTTTAGAATCAATATTATATATACTTCGTTTAAAAAATTATAATGCTCTGTGTTGTAGAACAATTATACTGATGTTGCTACATTTTGAAAGTCTGATAAAATTTTTCTATTATAATCATCTGAGCCTGATGATAATTTTGAACAGCATCTCTTCAGCACCACTTTATATTCTTTTTATTTTTTCATTTTTGCAGTCCTGGGAATTGAATCCAGGCCTCTCACACATAATGAGGCAAGCACTCTACCGCAGAGCTGCACCCCAGCCATATATATACTTTTTTTTCCATTACTGGAGAATGAATCCA